CCGCTTCCCGGGCACGTCCCGCCCCGTGCTTCCAGGGCTGGCGCAAAGACGAAGGGGGCAAGGACCCGAGGCGGTGACGCCACCGAGAGCCAGCCAATGGGCAGCGAGCGGGCAGAGCCCCAGTCGTTCGAACGGAAAGGCAGGGAAAGGGCGGGAGGAAAGAGCCAGCAGTTTGGGAGCGCGCGCTAGCCCCGCCTCTGGACTCCGGGGTCCGGTCCCCATTTGCCGACACCCACCAAAGGAACGTTGCTCCCTGGGGCTGGGGTGTCCGGCGGAAGGGTGAAACTTATCTAGATAACTAGTGACCAAGGAGGGCGTGGATAGCTAGAGGGCACGCCTCCCTGATGTGAGGGACGGGGGAAGGGGTATTAGCAGAGGGGAAAATGATCCAGACCATGGTCCAGAACTGGTGAGAGCTGAGGAGAGGAAAAGCCTAAGCCCTCAGCCCCCGCTCCCGCCTCCCACACAAACGTTTGGCAGAGGGGACAGATCACAGCTCCCACCTTTACAGATATGAAAATATCTGCCTTCTTGGGCAGATAAACCTTTATTTAAAAAAAAAAAAAAAACAAAACACTATTCTTTATTTGATAGCCCTGGGACATGGTGCCCTCCACCCAATAAAGCACCCTCCAGCAATCCTCCCACTCCTCACCCAATACATACACATACAGATACAGACAGACACACACACACACTCCCAACACAAGATCTGGATCCGTCTTCACTTCCTGTTGGCCTGGGCAGTACCAATAACACACTGGTTCACCTGGGGGTAGACAGGATAAAAGTTTGCAGAGTAACCAATACAACATTTTCCCCAAGATCTCCTTCCATCCTCCAATGCTAGGGCTGCCCTCAGAAATACTGAAATAAGGCCTCCAAAGGCAGGTTCAGGCTGGTCCCAGTTATGGTTGGTTCTCCTCTGCACACTAGGTTTGGAGGAGGTTAAAAGGCCTGAGAAGAGATAGAAGCCCCAGAAGAAAATACAGGAGCAGAGAGAGGAGGCTTTCATTTCCAGCAATACCCTGTACTAGAGACCTCCAACCTCTCCCACTGTAAAATACTTAAACCGAGATAAAAGAGTAATAACACCCATTTAGGAACTAGGACTCCTTAGAAAATGGATCAGTTGAAATCTGGGGAGGAAATGTACAAGTTGAATCTGAAAAGACTGCTAGAGTTCTGTCTAAAGGACACTGGCGCCAACCTGAAGGAGGTTCTTTTTTTTTTTTTTTTTTGAGACAGTCTTGCTTTGTCACACAGGCTGGAGTGCAGTGGCTCGATCTCGATGCTCACTGCAAGCTCCGCCTCCCAGGTTCACGCCATTCTCCTGCCTCAGACTCCTGAGTAGCTGGGACTACAGGCGCCCTCCACCACACCTGGCTAATTTTTTGTATTTTTAGTAGAGACAGGGTTTCACCGTGTTAGCCAGGATGGTCTCCATCTCCTGACCTCGTGATCCACCCGCCTCGGCCTCCCAAAGTGTTGGGATTACAGGCGTGAGCCACCGCACCTGGCCAGGAGGTTCCTATTGGCCCAAAATGGGGCAATTTGAGCATCAGAAAGAGGAACGACTGTGGCTGGGCTGGGTGGCTCACGCCTGTAATCCTAACACTTTTGGTGGCTACAGTGAGCTATGATTGAGCCATTGAATTCCAGTCTAGGCAACAGAGCAAGTCTCTGTCTCAAAAAAATAAAAATAAAAATAAAGATAACCCTCAGATAAACATTCATTGGTCACCTTTGGAAGCTGCTAGGGTATCAACTCAATACTGAAAATCAATAAATAATTCAGCATTTATCTTGTTTTTCCTGTATGAACTGAATTTCAGAGAAACCAAGTAGATGGCAAGGCAAATGTCTTCATAAAAAAATTATGACTAACCAATGCAGAACAACTAAGATTAGAAAAATCGCCATTTAAAAACCCCTTAATGAAATAATGGATCCAGGTATGGTCACTGATGGGTAAAATCACTAGGTGAAAAAGTCAGTAAGGAGCTTTTAAATGGATAGATCACGCTAACAACACCTAAATATGATAAATAAGTGAAAGTACGGGGGAAAGAGGAAGCAATCAGCCAAAATCCAGAATAGTATATTCGATAGGACAAATGACCTTCAACAAACAAATGACATAATAGTGGCAGTGTGGGGTAGGGTTGTGGAACTTTAGACATTTCAATCAAGTGGGTGGCCCTTGCCTGGATCCTGATTTGAACAAACCTATTAGGTATAAAAGACACTTCTGAGACAGTTGGGTGAAATTTAACATAAACTGGGTATTAGAGGATATTAAAGTTCATGTTGTTGGATGTTACATTGGTATAACATTAATAAAAATTAGAAAAAACATCACCACCCTCTAAAATTGAACTTAGAATACCAGATCAGGGTGCAGGTGCTGGCTACAGCAACAATCAGTGCTGATTGGGAGGAGGCCCAAGCGCACAGCAGGACAGACCTGATCAGACCTCAAATAAAGCCAGAGCCCATTAAAGGGCTATACGCTCAGGAGGAGGGTGAACCGGAGAAAAAAATTACCGTAGAGGCAGACAGTAAGGAAATTTTCTGACTTGCTTAACACTAGTGGGAGGAGATTCTAGTGGAAGGAATTCTCATACGTGAGAATTCATATGGCTACTGGCTGATCCTCATGGAGTTTGGAGTCTGAATTCACACTATTTGGAACAGTCTGAAAAATCTGTAAGCCTTTGATCCAGTAATCCCATTTCAAGGACTATTTCCCTGGTTAGATGTAACTGAAAAAATACAAAATGATGTATGTACAAAGTTAGTCAACGTGGCCTTGTTTGTAACTAAAAAAGGGTGGAAAAAATCCAAGTGTCCAGTAGAGGGAACTGGTGGATAAATTTTGGTGCAACTACATAGTGGAGTCCTAGGCAGACCTAAAAATAATGGAATGATCTCTGTATGCTGATGGGGAGGAATCTTAGGGATATTTTGTGTGTTGTTTTGTTTTTTGAGACAAGGTCTTGCTCTGTCACCCAGGCTGAAGTGCAGTGGTAGGATCATGGCTCACTGCAGCCTCTACCTCCCAGGCTCAGGTGATCCTCCCACCTCAGCCTCCTGAGTAGCTGAACTACAGGTGTGAGCCACTACACCCAGCTAATTTTCCTGTTTTTTGTAGAGACAGGTCTCACTATGTTGCCCAGGCTGATTTTAAACTCGTGGGCTCAAGCAATCCTCCTGTCTTGGCTTCCCAAAGTGTTCGGATTACAGGCGTGAGCTACTGCGCCCAACCAGTTTAGACCTTTTAGTCAGTCACCTTTTCTTTTTTTTTTTTCCCCAATCAGCTTTCTCAGGTTAAATTAATCACCTGTTTTTTAAAAAACTTAACTCAAAAGCTAATAATTAAAAATGGAACCATGGTGAGTACTGCCTCAGATGCCTGCAAATGTAAAACCTTTCTGGACAAATGTGCTCCCTGCCCTAGAAGACAGAAGGGCTAGGAATGGAGAAGCCTACAAGCACCCATGGGTCCTGACAAGGCCTGGGATTCATTGGTGGTAGTCGCACCTTGGAGGCAAAGCGTAAAGAGTTGAGGGACTCAGAGACGTTCTCTTCCAGTGGAGAAATGTTCACAAACATGAGCCTATGAAAACAGAATATGCCCAATCCCAGCATTAGGGGCCAGCAGAGCCTGGACAGGTCTCCACTGTTCCCCTCTTTCTACCCCTCACCCCAACACAGTTCCTACCTGAACCCTTCCATCTGTCCCTTTCACTCACATCTTAGCACTACCACCCAGAGAGTTCTGCAGCAGGTAGGTCAGTTTGCTGTTCCGGTAAGGCACATGGGACTCCTACATGATTGAGGTGGGGACAGATGTTTAGGAATGGGCAGAGTTCTGCACAGCCAACCCCAACTGGCCCCCAGGTCCCATATCTCCCCCCACTCCTATTCCCACCTTGTTACTCAGGGCCATGATAACCAGCCCCAGCGTGGACAGGCTGCTGTTAATGGCCTGTGTTTCCCGAAGGCGTTCCCGCTCCCCGGGGCCAAGGGCTAAGCCAGGGTCAAGTCGCTCACTCCCGGCCAGGTCAACAAGACTGAGGGAGGCCCCACACTGCAGGCCTCGGCTGGAGTGCGCCCCAGAAATCTGTAGCTGGAATACACTGTGGCTGCGTGATGACCGTTCATTCTGGGCTGTGCGGGCCACAGCCCGATTCTGGCGGGCCAGATGAAGCAGGGCCTCCACCTGGGGATGGGAGCAGAAGGGGCAAAAGGGCAGGCAGAAGTCAGTACATAGTAATATGTATGGAAATAAGTAAGAGCCCACCCCCACTCTCTTGAAGCTTTCTAGCCTGTCAACAAACAAAATTAGATGCACAGTATGTCTGAAAATGGTAAGGAATACATAGAATAGGGAGTGTATAAAGGCGGGGTGGGGAACCAAGTTTTGACAGGATAGCCAAAGATGGCCTCATTGCCGTAAGATCTCCAGGAAAGGAGCATCCAGGCAAAGGCCCTGAGATGGGGAGCATGACTAGTTGGTTGAGGAATAGCCAGGAGACCAGCATGGCTAGGATGAGCTGAGCAAGGAGATGAGACCTGAGATGCAGTGACCCTCCCCATTTCGGCAGCTGCATCACTCCCTCGCCACTCCCGGGTTAAGGCAGATCTACCTACAGCCCACAGGCCAAAACGGGATGTGGTAACCCAGCCTCACAACTTGTACTTCATCCTTCAATTCTCTCCTGCTCCTTTCTCTACCTACCTCCATCTTGTGGCACCCTGCCCACTCCTCCCCATTCCCCAGTTCCAGTGCCCATGGGTCCTCACTTCTTTCTCACAGGAGACAGGGACATATCGAGCATTGGTGACAGTGAGCTCCTCACTCCCTGGCCCCGCACGGCGAATCTCACACTCGCCCCCTTGACCTTTCCGGGTTCCAGTGGCCAGCAGGTCCCGGACAGTCTCATTGTAGATCTCCACGTAGCTTGCTACAAAGCTGTAGGTCCAGCCCTGACCACTCAGCTCCTGGGCCACAGAGAAGAGGTGCCGTAGGGCCCGAGGGATCAGCCCCTCCAACTGGGGATCTCCCCCAGGCCCACCCTCCATTGTGAAGGTCTTGCCACTGCCTGTCTGGCCATAGGCAAAGATGCATACTGGATAGCCATCCAGGGCTGACTGGACAAGCATGGCAATCTCTTCAAACACTTCATCCTGTCCACTTCCTGGTGGGAATACCCGGTCAAAGGAAAAATCGTGGCGAGTTGGTGGGGCTGGTGCCCCACTCAGGGTCCCACGCCGCTCATCAGACCGGGAGAGGCTAAGGCGGGTTGGAGGATCAGAGGGCCCACCAGGGCCAGAGGGAAACAGGAGGAGGCCAGGGGGTGGAGTGGGCTCCCCAGGAAGGACAGGGCGGACCCGGCAGAATACACGGATGTTGCCCTTGAGTTCCTGCAGCTGGTTGTGCAGTCGCCGGCGCTCCATTTCTAGCCCGTGAAGACGTTCTTCCCGCTCAGCCAGTAAGGCTGCCTGGGCCGCAGTCTCCTGCCACAGAGATGCCACCTCTGCTCGGCTGCTTGACAGGGCTGCTTCTGATGTCTGCAGCCTCCTCTGCCCAGAACAGAACATACACAGAGGGTGATTTGCAACCAAGAATAAGAACAAATTGTGTGGCATATGGAGTGGGTGGAGTGAGGTCCCCGCTGAAAAGGACCTCAACACCTGGTAAACAAAGAAAGATAAGAAAATAAGGAATCATGGTTCTAAGACAGGGAGTGCTATGGGTATGCCCAAGCACAGAGGAGCACAAGGAAGATGATATCTAGGCTGACACCCAGAAGTACAGAAGTGAACCAAGGAAGGATGCAGTACACAAAGAACATTCCAGAAAGAGGGAAGCACATAGGCATAATGCCCAGAAGTGAAAGTTGAGTCATTTAAGAGACTGCAAATAATTCAATCTAGTTGGTGCTCACCAGGAAGGAGTCAAGTGGACATGGGAGGAGGGAAAGAGAGTACCACAGGAATTTGTGATCAGGATGCCAAAGAAAGAGGGATGGAGGACTAAGGAAGACACAGATCTAAATGGGAGCTTTGCAAACAGTCAAGGGTAGGAAGAAGCATGGCAGAAAAGCAAGACAGTCAGGAGTGGGCTGGGTGCAGACTGGTGGAAGAGAGAGGTATCTTCAGCAGCACCTATACTGCTAAAGATAGGTGCTCATGAGTTCTGAGCCCAAACAGACTTGAGGGGCACCTGGAACGGAGGGGAGGCATGACCTCTGCCAGGAAAGCGGGGCTGGCATCTGGTGAAAATCTGGCCCTTACCTCCTTCTCCTCTAGTTGGGACGTCAGTCCCCTCCTTTCTTCCTGCAATTCCACCTGTTTTTTCTGAAGCTCTTGCACCAAGCCCTCCTGCGTGCTCAGCCGCTCTTCCAGCTCCAGGACACAAGCACGCAAGTTCTTCAGCTCCTGTTGGCCCTGCTCAGCCTGGGCCTGTACCTTGGCTAAATGCCCCTCCAGTGTCCTGCGCTCTGTCCCCAGGGCCTTGGCCTGCTGTTGGGCATCTCTGAGCTGGTCCTGAAGCTGCTGGTTCTCTTGGTCCAATGTTTGAGTCCTCTCACGGCAGCGTTTTAGTTCTGCGTTTAGGTCACATAACTGACCCTTCAAGTCCCAGGCTGGACGTTTGCTGGGTTTCTTCCCTCCTGCCATGGGAGGAACAGCTGATGCTAAGATGAACACAGAAAGGACAAAGCTCAGGGAAGTCTAGGCTCTCTATCCCTCCTCCCTTCTAGCCTTTATGGGATCCACACCTGATGCTACATCTCCTTCCCCTAAGAGACCAGATGGATTTTTCTGGGCACTCACCATCTTCTCTTCCCTATCCCAGCCTCTCACCCAGTGGTTATGTTTGTCACCTACTGCCAGGCTTCTGGATAGGAACAGCAGGAACTGGCTTCTGGTTCTTCAACCCTAGAGAATTGAGGAGGTGACTTAGGAAGTACAGGACCAGTGTCCCTTCACCTCCGTCATTCTCCCTTTACATATTACCCCAAATCCCTTCTCAGACCCAGCTCTTGAGCACAATTACCTGTGGCAATAGCTGTGGAACACCGGGGTCCTGTCTTCTTGGAAACTTTTTGAGCTGCCCAGGAGATGGGAGAGAGCAAAGGTAGAATGATCATTCTTAAGATGACATGTAATCTTGCTAGGACAGGGGCAGGAGAAGTGCTTTTCTCAGAATTAGAAATAAGATAATTTTCTTTCTGGCCAGCTCCTAATGATACCTCCCCTAGAACCAGAAATTACAGTCATCCCTCAGTATCCAAAAGGGGTTGATTCTAGCACCCCCCAAGAATACCAAAATCCAAGGATGCCCAAGTCCCTTACATAAATTGGTATATAGTATTACATATAGTCTATGCACACCCTCCCATATACTTTATTTATTGATGATTGAGACAGAGTTTCACTCGTTGCCCAGGCTGAAGTGCAATGGTATGATCTCAGCT